TAAAACGGCGCAATTTACGACCGCTCACGACACAGGCTTCGACACGATCGATGGGCCGATGGGTGCGATTTGTAAAGTTGCGCGCACGTGCATACAACCCACGTGCATCGAATACGATTCACGTGCGTACGCCCCAGGTGCATACGACCCACGTGCATTGCACACGACCCACGTACATACGACCCAGGGCACGCGGCGCATTCCCGGGTGCTGCCGCTCTCGCGTTTGCAGAGGCCTCCCCTCTCCGGGGCTGCCTGCCATTCTGTCCCTCATCAAGTATTCATGTCCGAGGACGACCAGGAATTTATAGTGCATTGGAATTCACTTTAATTAAAATTTAACAAGCCTTCCCCTTTTTTACTGCCGCCGTGGATCACCGCAAATTCCCCGCAGCGCTGCTCTGATTCTGTCCCGCGCCTGTCTTTGATCCCGCGATAATTTATTTCGCTCCCCATGGAGTTCCAACTGGCTCTTGACTTGTTCATCACACCAGACGCTTCCATTTATCTCCTTAACCCTTCGCCGCCCGGCAGAAGGCGGCGCGCTCCATCCCGGCTACACCGTGCCGCCGCCGTGTTTGCCTGTGGCCCACGCGCCGCCGCGCGCTAATTGACTAATTAACGCGCGAAGGCCGTTAAGCCCGGGTCAGGATATTCTACGGGGATCAGCGGCGCGAGCTCCAACCCAAGACTCTCAGACGAGCTTTACCACTTCTCGGGCTTGCGTTCGATCCAATGCATGGATAAGAATGCAGATTCACGTCAGTATTAAACAAAGAAACATCGCGGATTCAAAATATATTAGACACTGCAGCAGGCATTGCCAGCTCTACTTCTGCAAGGAATTACCGCATTAACACTGCGACTTCCATCTTCTTGCAGGTACCAACGCCTTTGCGAGTATCAAAGCTGCCAGTTGATGCACTGCCAATGCACGCCCCCCTTGTGCGTTCCCCTGCCACTTCACACGTGCATTTGGGCAAGCCAGCGCCGCGTAGCCGAACCGCCGTGTAATCTGGTTTCAGAAATGTTGCTTTCTTCAAATGTTCCGGTACAATCCCTGTCCGTGTCAGCTCTTCACCCGATTCCCAGAAACGGACGCTTTGTTTACACCGGGCGGCAATCGTGGTACCTCCAGTCAACGTCAGTCTCCCCCCGCAGCCCAGCGGCTCACCGCTGTGACGCCTTTGTGCCGCTTCAGGGTGCGATGTGGATTTGTGGGTGCCCTCCGCAGCACACGAGGGTTACGAAGGGCTTTAGCTCCGAGGAATATTAGTACCAAGCCAAACTAAAGCTTTTTTGTTACATTACATATCATACAGGTTTGTGTCGAACTAGAAACCACATCGAACAGAGGATCCTTGACAATGAACATCTGACAGTTCACCAGCGTTGGCTTGAACAAGCCTGACTCTGCTGATGAGATGCTGAATTTCAAATCGAAACCGGTCCAGAGTTTTGCAGGTATTGAACCAATGCTGCTGAAATGAAACACTCCCAGGAGGCTATGTGGTCGATGGGCTGTGTAAAGAATACTCGCATTGTTTACATGGAGGGACGGGTCTGGGAAGGAGGCGTATTGTCTGCCTTGTTATTCGAGGACCGAGGGTTTCCAGGATTGAGCACCTTGAGCCTCTGGCAGTCCAAGGGAACGTCATCAAACAGCACATGCACTCATTTCCACTTTGAGACGCAGTTGCTGAGCACAGGCACAATGGCCCCAAAACGTCAAGCGATCAGAAACAAACAGGACCGTCAGGGCTGCAAAAGATAAGAGTGTAACGCGTTTCCTGAATTGAGCAAGGTTATTATAGGAACTTGGGAATGGGAATTCCATAGTGAGCAGTGCGAGGGAAGAAGCAGATAAAGAAGTGAGGTGACCTGCAGTGTGGTGAGTGGGTGGTTGAGCTTTTGTTCGGCTGGATAGAAGGGGCTGAACGGCCACGGCACGGGCTAGAAATGAGATGGAGCGATTTGGTACAGAAGGACGTGGAGCTGAGTGGACTTGCCGATGACTGGTACCAGCGGTGTCAGGATCGGCCTCTGCTGAGGAGACTCGTGAAGGACGCTACTGGGCAGTTGGAGGCAGTCGCCCTCCAGCAACAACGGAGGGCGGAGGAGCGACGCTCACAACGAGTTGAACGCCGGGCGACTAAAACACAGCAAGTTTGCAGAGTAGGGGGGCACAGGTGGTGCATCGGCCTGTCATCTCAGTCAATCGACGCATTGCACCTGGGTCTGTCCCATAACCTCCTGCAAGCAGGTGTTTGACACTTCACGTGGCCTTAACGTGCACATAGCCTGGTACAAGAGCCGTGGTAACGTTACTGCCACTTAGTGGCGAATGGCGGTTGTTGCTGTTGTGACCTCCAGTGTGGTGAGAGGGTGGGTGAGTGAGGGGAGTTGTTGTGCCCTGCAGCGTGGTGAGTGAACACAGTGTGGATGAGACAAGATGCTGAGTGTCTGGTCGACCGAGTCCTCAACATGGGTGTAGGAATCAACCAGGTTCACGGGATACGTAACCGTAACCATGGCAGTAGCGATAGAAGAGTTACAAGGAGGCGACTGACTGCTGGTGAGAGAGCGAGTGACTGGAGCAGACCATCGGTCACCCTGGCTGCTGACAGGTAATCTGTCGGGCCGCCGGAGCAGTGCAGCAATGAGCCCCGCAGCACCTCTCCGGCCTCCCGAGAATTTTACGACTCAAATGAAGTTATCCTGCGGTGCAATTTCGCATTGGAAAGTATTTAATTGATCGCAATTAAATATGCCTAAGTTTAGTACATGAGGGCAATCTCAAAGAAATATAATTTGAAGCACTTTTGAATGTCGTATAGTTGTGATTGACAGAAATGTATAATGCCTATCAGTGATGAAATTTTTGGTAATTATCATTAAATTGCAGGTGATTATTTTTGACAGAAAAAATTGGCACTGCCATTTAGGCTTAAGGCCCTTTGCATGGCGGAGCTTGTTCCCGCATTAAATGTTAATTTAAAAAAAATATACATTCACACAGCCCTCCAGTTACATTAAGACGATTTTGATGAGCACATTTTGTGGAATAGTTCAGGGAGAAGAAAACTTTAGCGATATTTTCCCTTCGCTAACCAAATAAATCATCAGACAAAATGCTAATTTCCCAAATTTGTCCCTCCACATGAAAAACAAAAGTACTTATAGGAATTAATTTTTCAGAAGCATTGGTTTAATACATGCAAACTGTGGACTGGGTTCGATATTCAGCGGTTCAAAATGTGCACGTGCTAAGCCAATGCAATTGAAAAAAATCACTCCCAGAAGGCCGTGTGGCTAATGGGACATTTTATTTTTTTGCACGTTTGATTTGGAGATACAGATATGTAAATTAGGCACAGTCTGCTTAGTTATTCTCTTCCTCATATTCTCCACAATGACGCAAATTATTATTTTGGTTTCCCTTAGCGATGTAAAAAAATGTGAACCAAGTGGAAATCACGTAAGAAAACTGCACATTGCAGAGTCATGAAGTTCAACACAATTCCGCCAGATCTTGGCACGAATAAAATTCCTGCCACTCAAACGAACATGCCAATTCCTAGATTGTCTGGGGTCAAACCCAGGCTGCAGACGGGTGGCAACCCTAGGCCCTAGGTGGCACAGGCCTCCAGAAGCCACACACGCAGCTCGGCGATCGGTCCAGCCTGGCAGGCTCAGCCTGTGACCATGGCAACGCTTAGTTCACTGTACGTGTGACTATAACAAGTAACAGGGACATTAGTACGTGAGCCGGAGTAGCCGAGCAGGTGAAATGGACGGGTCTAATCGCCTTAATCGGTCTGGGAAACCGCCTCTCCGCGCGTCTCATTGAGCTGCCGCACCACCTCATTTGCAGCCGACGGCTCGCGGAGAACACAGATAGCGTGGCCCGGATAACGGATCTGACAACCGAACACGAGTAAGACGGCCGTGTGTCATTTACATGGGAAAACAGCGCCTCGCTCAGAGGGGTGCAGCTGCACCGCGCGGCAAGGAATGACGTGTAGCTTCCTTTAATGCAAACAAATAAAACACTGAGAGTAAAATACTAATTAAATTGTGTCATTTTAAAAGTGTTAAAATTAGGTTATTACTCACCATCCCTTCGGTCTGTATACAATCGTTTTGTCACGATTGGATTGATTAGGATTACACATTTGATGGAACAAAGGCGGCAGAATAACCCCACACATATAATGATGTTTATGAAAACAAAAAAGGGGCACGGAAAGTAAGCAGTTTGTCTGCTACTGTTTGGTTTCAATTGTGGGAATCATCCAACCCATTCCTAGTAAATGTTTACATTGAATTCTTGTTATGCTTCCAACGTTAAAGTGACTTCCTGTTTCACGTTCCTGTGGCGGGCGGGGGGGCCACACGTTTAGCCACAGGACAACAACCACTGTTAATTTCCAAAAAAGGCAGTACATATTTTATCGACCCCAGCAGGATGATGGGCGAGTCCACCCTCTCACAGCCTTCCGCTGATTACGAGCCGCTCTACTGCTAAGCCTGCCGGCCGGTTTGCATCATGGCTAAACGTTCTACTTCTCACTCTCACTGCTTTCATGTCAGGTGGGCTCTGTTCCGTTTCTGTCGGGCAGTCAACCACCCCTGCTGTCCCAGACCGACGCGAGCACCGGCGCCCTCACTGTCATGGTGGCACAAGCGCTCGTGCGTCTTCTCGCAGGGATGCCCGGAGGAGAGGGGGACAGCGGGCAAAATGGGACATTTGCCCCGGGCCTCACACAAAAGAGGGCCTCACAACGAACCTGCGTTTTTTTTTTCCTTCCAAGAAACAATAAAGGAGCCCCAGGTGGCGCTCTGCCCCGGGCCTCGAGCACCGGGCCTCCAGGTGCCTCTGGACGGCCACGTCTTCTTGTGCCGCCCGACGGCATGCTCTCGCACACACACACGTCGCCAGCTGCTGCTGCTGCTGCTGCGTGGGTGCAACGGGCTTAGCGTGCACAACACCGTACTCACCCGGTCATCGATGTCACTCTCGCTGTCGCACTGCAACAGAAGAACAAAGGAAAGTAATTTAGTGAAACGTGTGGACGTTTGATTTCCTAATGTACAGAAATTCTATGCATGTTAAATTAGCGAGCAGCCATTTATCTGCAGGCCCATATAAATCCTGGGCTGCCCTGCACACCACGAGCGGCGATTGGCGGCCGTGCAGCCGTCGCTTAGCAGATCCAAACGAACCTCGGGAGCGGCAGTGGAGTGTGCGCTTCAGTGCAAAGAGACGCCAAAGAGGAGCAGCGACGCCGCATTTGTTAACAACACAGACGTGGCAAAAAAAACATTGAGAGAATTCACATTGTGAAAGGCAGATTGACGTTTAAGCAGGTTACCAATACAAGTAACTTACATAATACCTCACAGGGCAAATCTTTATCCTTTAAAAACACAACGTCGATGTTCTCAAAGCGATGCATCGTCAGAGGCGACGCGTCCGAGTGTCACTTCGCAGCGAGTTCCTGCCTCTGGCTCAGGGGCACCAGAGGCAGGGCTGGGCTGCTGGACCACGTCCACCCCTTTCACAGAACAGGCATCAACATCCCACAAGTTCCAAAGAGCTCAAACGAAGACACTGCATATAGCCCTAAACGCAGCGGTGGACAATCCATATTCCTATGACAGGGACATAGTCTATCCAAAGGACAGCCATCATTGACTTCTCCTCCACAAAAGTGGCGCTCATTTCATTGACCCCGGAGGAAGGGACGATAGGCGACCCCTAACCAGGAGTTGAACTCGCGACCTTCGGATTGCGATCCGCTCACTCTACCACTGAGTCACCACCTGGCCGGTTGTAATAGAAATGAAAACACCATTGAAAAATTACACCTCGGCAGTGTTGATAAAATTCCGTTTTTAATTTACGTCTATGCACACATTTTAATCTAAAAGTCTGCCGCTAATACAAACCGTGTTTACACCATAAAGAGTGTGATTTTTTTTATTCTCTCACGGTGCCACAAGAGATGACACAGATACGAGAGAGGGCCCCGCGGCCAGATACAAGAGGGGGAAGTGTGAAGGGCCCCTTTAAGGCTTGCACATGCAAGCCTGGCTCTCGACAGCCCCGTCTCCGCGGCGCATATTAAGTGTGGAGCACAGAGCCGTACAGTGCGGGAGCCTGAGCACCACTGTCCTGCAGCAATATAGAAAGAGCAGCACTCAGGCAAATGGCAAATCAGCACCCATCACCGCAGCCCCATTCCATAAATCAAAGGCAAATATCACATTTTAATGCCTTTCTGAATGTGAAATGGGTGCTGAAATCATGCGAGAATTGCGCATGAATATTTAATGCGGGGCCCGCTAGCTCACGAGAACGGGGCAAATGAAGGTGCTGATGGATGAATTCGCGGTAAGTAATTTCTACACGTGTGCCGCGTGTTATTTCGCATGCCAAGTTCACTCACAAACGCCAGGCTGTGAATTATTTTTCGCAGCAATTCCCAGACCTAATTTTCACCCATGAATATTTTATAAAACGTCAGGGGCGATTTGAGGAGCTGCAGGCTACATTACAATTTCTGACAAGTTTTTCTGGCACCATTTGATGCGCTCTCCTCCGGCAAGCCAGAAGCCCTCTCTTCCTCCCCTCGACCGACGGCACAAATCGACCCGCCCCCTCCGTGCCGCCAAGGCCCACGCTGGGCCTTTAATGTGATTACTAATGAGCCAGTAAATGTCAGAGCGAGGCTGCTCGCAGTCACTGAATGTCGCCCTAACCAGCGCGCCACCCACGTATCGTGCGTGGTGGCGGCGGCAGCGGCACGTTTCTCACCGCCATCTTGCCATCTCAGGCTGAGATATTTTCTTGCCAAATGCCAAACGTGCACTTTGATTTTTATATATATATATATTTTTTAAATGCCACCCATTTTCACATTTCTTGCTAATTATCTGACATTTTGAAAATAATCCTTGGCAATTGAAGCGGTAGGAAAATCCATCCACGCATCGGTCGCCTTGTGTTCGCTCTCCCGCCGCAGAGCGTGCGGGCGCTGGAAGCGGCATCGCTTGCGGGGGGCGTCGCGAATGACAATTACAGGGTGATAATTGCGACGGTGACGCAGGAACGCGTGTTGCAAAATACGAGGCCAGCCCAAAAAAAACAAACAAACACTTGATCAATGCAGGTGCCAACACGAGCTGCGGAAAATATTCATGAGCCTCAGTCAAACATTTTTTGTGGCGTCACCCCCATTAACTCTCAGGGGTACAGTCAATTGAGCACCGGCTCTCTTTGGGGGGAAGTCAACAGTGGTTGTCCGATGGACAGACTCGACCCTGGCATGGGAATGTGTGAATTTTCCATCACTGGCTCAGGGCTGTAAACAGATGAGCACCGCCTCGGTGCGGAGTTTGAGCCGGAAATCTTGGTCCAAGTAAACCTCGGTACAAGTAGGTATTAATAGTACCTCTGCTGTAACCAAAGGGCTTTAGTTACCGATAGCAACTTGGGTTGCGACTGGAATTTGACGCTCTATTTATTTAGTGACCCTTTGCACCCCGGCGCACTCATTTCAGCCGATGTGAATACCCAGGCGTGAAACGTGAGCGCCAGCGAGCACACGCACATCTCTCGGTGCGCGCCACGCACCCAGAAGAGCACCGGGCTGGCGCCCCGTGCAATGCGGCCGTCATGTTCTGTCAATAAAGAATGGCAAAACCCCGATGCGCATGCCAGCATTGCGAGCCACGATAGAGAGCTTAGCTCGGTCTGTTCATGACGCGGCCACTGCGCTCCTTCGTTACGTATGCCGGTGCTCGCTTCAGAACCGCTAATTCCTCAGCTGACAGAAATAGAATATACGCGACCTCGCCCCCGTGCATTCGACTCAGTTTGTCACCTGTAATTCCCTGTCTTTGTTCAGCTTTATGGACGAACTGGCCTGGAAACCGTCCGCCAGGACCCTGTTCTGTTCTGATTAAAATGAAATTGGCTCTGGCAGGATCCACAGCATGACGGGGCTATTCAACTGCAGCCCCCGTGAGATCGAGAGACAAGGCAAGTCCTCATCAAGGTATAAAGCAACATAGCCTTCAGGAGTAATGTAAGATAATCACGAGTGTCGTGGTGAAGAATACAACAAAATAGATGAGCAGACAAGACGAAACTACGTCACCTATCTGTCCCTCCACAAAAACGAAAAAGTATTTGACACTTTCCATCAGCCATACGGCCATCTGGGAGGGCATAATAATTTCGGCTTCATTGGTTTAACACAAGCCAAATTCCGAAACGCTTTTGACATTCACTGCCTCATCAGCAGTCAGACCTGCTTGAACGGATGCTGGTGAACTGCCAGATGTGTATAAGCAAGGACCTTCTATGGTCGATATGAGTCCTAGCTCAGCGCAAAACTCTGTGACACGCAACACAAATGAATCACGAGAAGAAAGACAGATCGTCGTCACATCAGTCCTGTCCTCAACCAAGTGAGAGCCACAGTCATCATCATCCCCAACCATGGTTAATCCACTGCTGAATGAAGACCTCATCAAATCGCCACCACCATAGTTGCTGTAGAGAAAAGAATGGAACAGATGCTGTGATTGCCGAAGTTGTAGAAGCTCAAACGCCAACACACACAGTCCTATCTCGTTGTTGCAAAAAACCCACCAGCACCCAGGCTCAGCTGCTCACATACAGAGGAAGGGAAGGTGCAATTCTCGTCCGCGCTTCCTGCACGCGTGCCATCTGACCACCACGTGACATGCACAATGCTCTCAGCCTTATCGTCATTTACAGAAAAACTCAATTCAATCTCCACTGGAGCTCTGTCGCTTTCACATATTTCATAAAAACCTCAGAACATGGGCACAGTCCTGATATGAACGAAAATTTAGGACAACCTGCGTCCACCCCCGGCTGCCCCGGCCCTCCTGGAGAAAATAACCCAGCGAACCCTATCTCCGAGATAGTTGGCACGAGATGTGTGCCCCGGGCTCTCTCCAGGACAAGGACGAAAGGGGAGATTCCTGAACCCCGCGCTCAGAGAGAGGGTCAAGCGGGAGACAGCTCGCCGACAGTGCCGCCATCGTGAGCGGCCGTGACCTCCAGCAAGACCCGAGTTCCGCTGCAGTTTGGAACAGCAGCCAAAACTAATCGCGGCCTGTCCTGGAAAACTCTGCTCAGACGAGCGTGGTGGAAAGATAAATGAACGGCTACATACCCAAACGGGTATTTACGTGTAAGGGAAATACGTTGTACCTTGAATACAAAATGTTCACTGGCGCTGTTGTGGAGAGTACACGCAACAACAAAATAAATTAGGAGATGATACGCCCCCCTCATTCGCACCATTATCTGTCCCTCTGCATAATAAATCCAATTAGCCGAATGGCCTTTTTGAGAGATTGCATCTTATCAGTAGCATTGGTTCATCACAAACAAAACTCTGGACCAGTTTTGACATTCAGTGTCTCGTCAGCAGACACAGGCTTGCATGAAAAAATACTGACTAACAGTTTACAGTGATGTGAGACAGGCGTATCGTGTGCGAATATATTATTTTGTTATATTCTCTACCACGCCACCAATTACAGTTTTGTGTTGTGTATTTATATAGTTCTGCAAAGAACTAGGACCTCGAAACATCTATTAAATTAAATTAAATCGTGTTAACGCTCACCTATTACAACTTTGACGGTGCTGTTTTTGCTGGCCACTTGACGTCCGTGGCCTTTGGGCAGGCAAATGCGTGGCTAACCCGTCCCATTCACGGAAGAGGTTCGCCAAAAATATGAACCGGCATTTTGACCACGCGCGTTTTCCAACGCACATACAGAAGGGCCAAACGTTTTTGCAACCCAGCAACTACCACCGCCGCCGTCGTGATGAATGCCTGACAACAGGACAAGCGGTCAAGTGGCAGGACAGAAAATCAGTAACGCTCTGCATCACCAGCTACGCGCAAGATAAGCGGCCCCTAGTTCTATCGATCCCGCACATTTCCTTGGCGAGACAGTTGGAATTGTTGACACGGGAG